CCCGCTTGAGGGCCGGATCTATTGCTGTTTACCTGCCCTTAAAATAGAGACCCGACGGTATCCCGTTTCTCTTATTCGTACAACGAGAGCGGCGAGGAGGGCCTTCAGGGACTATGAGCAGACTACCCTTTACACTTGCTCGTGGGCCAGCCAGAAGACTGTTGATCATGTGTGTGGAAGAGGACATCTCTCAAATCGAGGCACTCTGGGGGAAGCAACTGGAATTCTTTTTACTCTGGAGGAAGCAAGAATCGAGGCCCCCCCCCTCTCCAAGGGTGAGAATATGTGTCGTCTGATGTGTCACTGCGTGCGTCATATCAGTCTTGATAACAAGTACGGTCGATCCGTCAAAGCGATACACTCGTTCCTATCACATATTCTCCCACCCACCGGGACGCAAAACGCTCTTGGCGAGAGCCACAAGAAGGCGTCCACACAGCAAGCCACTCGTCGGACAGGCGTGCTCGCTCGATGTCGGCGAGCGCATGGCGCACGCCTTGGACGGTGGCGAAGCCAAAAACACCGATGGTGGCCGTCCGCTGGCGTGAGCGGCGGCGGTCGAGACCTCACCCTTCGCGACGACCCAACCTTACGCGGAACAACCCAACCCAGGCCCACAACCCAACCCAACCCAAAAAGCACGATTCTCCTTTCATTAAAACTCATATGTCCTACTCAAAACGAAGACGCCGAAAGAGGCGGCACGATCACTATTATGCGTTGCAACCTCGAGAGAGATTTTTAGAAGCCAACAAGAAATGTGTCTTCTCTTCTAACCTCGACGAGAGGGCCATGAGATGGGTTGGCTGGTGCGACACTCCTCGCTGACACTATCATTTCTACCATGCGCTGTCCCCAGACTCAGTCTTTGGCTCGGTGCGTCCGAGAGGTCTGCTTCAATGAGCGCGCAATCCCTACCAGCACGGTGCAAAAGAAATCCCGGGTCAGGGACGCTCGCTCCCCGACGCCGACGAGTTCGCCAGCCAAATGTTGGCGCCACACAAGCTCTTCCGACAGGCGACACGGCGTCGCCTGTACACGCAGCTGGCGCCCCGCGCATTCTCCGCCGCGAGCCGACTCGCCGCTCCCGCCTCGCTCGCCCGGTTGGATCTCGCGCGCACGCCGCAGCCGCTGGCAGCGCCGAGGCGTCGGTGGCTCGCGACGGATGGAGAGACTGTGGAGGTTCCGGTGCCGGAGATGGGCGACTCGATCTCGGAGGGGACTATCCTCTCGATCGCAAAGAAGCCGGGCGACTACGTCGCGCTCGAGGAGACGGTCGCCGAGGTTGAGACGGACAAGGTGACGGTCGAGGTCAAGTCGCCGCACGCTGGGACGATCAAGGAGATCCATGTGGCGGTCGACGAGAGCGTCGAGGCGCGGACGGCCCTTCGCTTCGCTCTCACGCGAGCCTCGCCACCGTGTCCCCCACTCTTGCCCCCCCTCCTCCCCCCCCCGCCTCCCCTCCCCCACCACGCACCCCCCCTGTCTTTTGCAAGCGCGTCCGCTCTCCCCTGTCGCCCCTAGTGAGTCGCATACACAGACCCTCCACACCTCCACGCTCACCACCGCACCGC